AGCATTTCTATAACTTGCTAAACCTAGTCAGTTGCTATTATATCACAAACATCTGTCGACATACACTCATGCTCTTCTTTACCACTTGAGTCTTCCACTCACAACATTACTTTATGAAATTTTTGGATAAAATCCTATTTTAAAATTTAAGTCAACCCTATACTTGATATGCTGAACATAGACCTCTAAGATATCTCCTGCGGCAATTAGTGGGTGCAAATACTCGCATAGTTCAGAAGCAATATTAAATAACCAACATGTGTCCATCCAGTTCCATATAGTCCAGATCAATTGCACTTGGATCCATTGGATCAATTGCTCTGGCCATATTCTTACATTCACTGGTTTATCTTGTCCATGAAGAGCAAGTATATTGCCTGTTCCAAATGATGTTGGTAGTTTTTCTCATGAGCAGCACTGGTGCACTTGAATGGTACAGCATGGATGATTTCGTTCCCGTCACTTTCATCCTCATCACTTAACTGGTCACCACTCTCTGCCGTATCACCTTCATTACCATATATCCATCCTGACCAGGTTCAAGACCAGCCAACCACTCAAGTAGATCTCTTTCTACAAAATCATAACAAGAAAATTTTTATTTTATACATACACTGTAATCTCTAAAATTAGCGATCTAATGCAAAAGTGTCACTATTTACAGTAATATTAGCACAACACACAAATATGGCAATATTACTTAATACAGATGAAAATTGAAAAATATATAACTACTGTATACTACTTCAGCAAAAATTTATTAAACAATTTATTTAACTCAAAACATGTACATAACTATCACAGTGACAGAGTACATAGACACACACACAATAGGGTCAAACTAGAGGCAATAAACACAAATATTACGCTATAATTTTGTACAGTGTATTTCTGAAATTACAGTACAGTACAGTACAAGAATGAAAACAACAAAGCGGAAATTTGACTATAAAATAACAAGATAACTGTAATGCATTGTAGTATACCAACCTCAAATACTGCGCTTGTTTTCACGTTGATGATACACGGAGATTTAACGCCATCCAACTTAGAAAGAAGAGCCTTGCTATTGGGATTTGGGAATATTTATATAAACACAATTCCTTCGCTCAGACGGATTATTTATGAACTAAACTAAAATGACAGCACGTCCCATGCAATTTAAAAAAAGGTAAACTTGGTATAGCAAAACACAAGTCATAATGAGGATCGCAACACGCTGTTGTGGATCGCAATATGCTGTTCTGACACTATTGTCGTTCGAAATCTTCCATATTTGTTTAGTCAGAGAGATGTTCACTCCTCGATAGTCAACAGTCAATCAAGCCACGCCGTGGAATTAGGCGCTCAATCCCCATGATGCTTTGCGGCCTGCTGTCCAACCTCCTCTGTGACAATGCATTACAAGATTTTTACACGCGTTTTCTCTTCAGTGCTTCCATTTTGAAGGAAATTTTCTTTTTGAAAAAAGGTCGGGTAGGTTTCGGGTAGGAGGTTAGGCAACGTTAGGGGTGGGGTTTAGGGATAGGGATTGTCGCGAATTCACTATGTTAATAAATTTGGACGTTTTTAAGAATTTACTGACATGGGCGTACCGGAAGGAAAAAATTAGGGGGGCGGAAAGAAAATTGCCCAACTTTTCGGGATTCTGCCCGACTAGTACCAAAAAATTTTTTCCGGAAAAACTATTTTGGCGACCTCCCTCCCCGTCGCAAAAAAATTTTCGGTCAGTGTACCATTTTAGGGGTCAAAAAAATTTTCCGGACAACTGATTTTTTAGGAACATAACCCAAATTTTCGAAAACTGATCGCAAAATTGGCCAAAAAATTGACTTGATTTTAGACAAAATTGAAAGAATTTGTCCCATTTTTTTTATTGCAAACCAAAATTGCCCGACTGTTGATCGAATATTGCCCGACTGCCCAAAAAACTGGGGGGGCTACCGCCCCCCCGCCCGGTACGCCTATGTAATTACTGATATAATAAATTCAAACGTGGAGCTTATGCTGGAAAATTCAAGGGGGGGCAGACCCCCTTGCTTGTTCTCCTTCGTGTTAATCTAGCTTATCTAGGTAAACTATTTGTCTCTCCCCTTTGATAAACAGCTCCTACAACGTCCATCGGTCCATGTTCCTTCTAGAACAAGAAATACCCCGTTATTCGAGATAAGTTACTATAAAATCAGTTTTAAATTTGTTTAAAATATGTATAAAAATTCAATTTTTACTGCAAGGAAATTTTTTCAAAAATAAGGAAATTTCGAACGGCTGGAAGGAAATTATGTTTTTTTGAAAATGGAAGCACTGTTTCTCTCCCTCCATTTTGTAAAGAAATCTTCTAGTGGACATCTATGGTGGCCGAGGGCTGCCAGTAATTTTTTTTCATAATTTTTAAATAAATACATAAATTTTTGTAAAGTAAAATGAAGTAAAATGAAAAAAGATAAAAAAAGAAAAAAAACTTAAATAAAATGAAACAAAATTAAAATTAAAAGTAAAATGAAATCAAAGTAAAACAAAAATAAAATATTCACGTGGCCCATCGCTGCCACTACCATAAGTCTTTCCGAACCGAATACTATATGATAACTACTTCATGTCAGCCTCGTGTATAGTGTTTGGAAAATGGCTGACAACAGACTAGCAATTTGGAAAACTGACGAAGCACTGAAAGCTGAAATGCAGAGACTTGTGAAGCAAGGGCTCAAGAGAAGTGAGATTGTTGACTTTTTGCAAAAAGACTTTGCTCAATATCCGTGGAGCATTCGCTCGCTTGACAGACGTTTACGTCATTTTGAAATATATTACAACGATAAAGAAATTGCCGTTGAGCAAGTAGAGGAAGCGGTAAGAAATGAACTACATGGACCTGGAAAGTTACTCGGCTACAGACTGATGCACAAAAAAATAAGACAGAAATATGATTTGTATGTCACCCGAGAGAAGGTGTATGATGTAATGGCGAATTTAGACCTGCAAGCGTTAGTCGCACGGACACCTGGACAGAATAACCTGAGTATCAGGCTCTATTTTACAAATAGAGCCTGACACAAAACTTAACCTGATCGCTTTCCGCCCACAGCAAAGTTTATATTTAGTATCCAATCAAAATGTCGCAGGAGAAATTTAAATTTCACACAACGACAACAACAATCTAATTATAGCATAGGCGCCCACTAAACGGCTGAATTTAAATTAAAACTGCAATGAACTTATAAAATTAACAAAAATAATCACAAATTAGCGAAATATATTGCAAATGTAGCTTATATTAAATCGCCACCCGATTGCTCTCTCCTCCGCAGAGGTTTCAGTGACTACAATGAGCTTTACATGGCGCTTGCCGTATTTATCAACAAACAGTGACGTATATATATAAAGTATATATATATTAAGTATACTTTATAACTATACGTCAGTCGATAGTGCAATCTGATGGCGATTTAATATAAGCTACATTTGCAATATATTTCGCTAATTTGCGATTATTTTCTAATTTTACTGCAGTTTTAATTTAAATTCAGCCGTTTAGTGGGCCGGCTATAATTGTAGTTGTGATCGTTATAAAATATATCAACAACAATAGTATAATCTAATTAGCACCAGCCAATCAAATGACAGATTTAAAAATCGTTTGTCTAATCGGCCAATCAGCGCTCAGTCCAGATTCTGGACTGAACAACCAGGCAAAATGCCACTTTTGTGTCAGGCCGTACTTTTCTCCCCTTCGCCCACGATCAGGCGTGCCTGTGCCCTAAAAAGTACGGCCTGATACTCAGGTTAGGACAGAAGAACCACAAAAGAAAGGGGAATTTCGTATCAGTAGGGCCAAACTGGTTGCATTCACTCGACGGCCATGATAAACTCATGGGCTATCAAAACTCAACCTTCCCTATAGCTGTTTATGGGTGCTTAGACTCCGCCAGTCGAAAATTGCTATGGATTAAGGTGTGGATGAACAATTGTGATCCACAGTTGGTTGGTCGTTGGTACATGGAATATCTCCTGGAAACTAAAGTTATGCCATCAATGCTGAGAATTGACAGGGGTTCAGAAACTGGTACCATGGCAACTATTCATGCCTTTCTTCGAAGAAATAACCCAGATGACCTTGACCCAGTAGACTCAATATTATATGGTCCCTCTACATCCAATCAGGTAATATGATTTACAATGTAAGCTATGTTAATTACAAAGGGTAGCATACCAGTAAAGTGCACCTACAATATTAGACCTGGCTGAGGAATTAGGCATTTTAATATGTGGTTCATAAAAATTCAAAGAATAAACTAACAAGGACAGAGTCACATTATCAATATTGCTGCAGTTATGAAATTATTAAGTACATATTTAATAATTTCAGATCGAAAGATGGTGGAGGGAACTCCATGAGAAATTGGAAAAATTTTTTAAAGAGCAACTGCTATGGTTAAAAAACCAAGGACATTACAACCCCCATGATGATGCTGACAGGTTATAAATATTACTGCTTTATGATATTTGTGATGTTACTCTGAGTGTATATCCACACCGGACAAGCTTAAAAAGTATGCCTGGCCACACAGTGGGAATCGAACCTACAACCTTTGGAATACTAGCCCCATATTCATATTCACCTGAGTACATAACACCAACACGGAAAAAAAATACTGCTTTATGCTGTATATAAAAAATACCAGACAAGTTTCCATCGAACCCTGATGTACTGTAACCTTATTTAACCCATTCAGCCGCAATGTGCCCCACCTATTTTTTTACTTGTTTAATGCCAAATGATTTTACTGATCAATGGGGAACTCTGCAGCTTAATGGGTTAAACCTGGCTGTGGAAGAAATGGAAAATACCCCTCCCCTTCAGATTTGTAGGTAGGATTTGGTTTTGCTCTGGTTGCATGTTGCATTAAAATTGTAGTCTTATTTATGGAGAGGACTTCCTGTTGAGTACGGTAGTGCATAAGAATTATATTCAGTTTAATAAATAAGAATCTGACATTCTTAGAATGCTCCTGGCTTATATTATGATCCCAGTGGTAGAGAAAGAGGTGAATGACTTCAAGGATGTAGTATGGAATACTCATCGTATTCGTGCTCAGAAAGACACATATCTCCCAAATGGAGTCCCGAACCACATGTGTAGCTTTCCTGAAAAGTATGGATTACAAGAATGTGGTATGTCGTCTGACATTGATTAAACAGATTAAAATGGTCTGTACGTACTTAGATAGAATAAAATAATTATGGGAGCAAATTCTGATGCATTGTTGTGCGCCAAGGGTGGATCTGGCCTAATCTGTTAGAGGCAAAGGGTGTTTTCGAGAGAGGGATGCATTACTAGGGGGGGTGTTAAAAATTAAATTCAAAACTCTAAACTGCTATTCTGGGCAATAAATTTATTTGTTAAATTTGTTATCACATTACAGCGAATTCAAAATTTAATACAAAATGGCAGATTTTATGAAGTGGGTGCTGGACACCACCAGGGGCCACAAACCCTCCTGCACTCCCCCCCCCCCCTATACCATACCCTTCCTTTACCCCCAGTAGTTCCACCTATGTTGTGCACTTAAAGGATAAAGTATACTTGTTTCCCTTATTTGCAGGAATACCAGTGACAGATGATCAACTTGAAGAGGTTGCTGTGGAATCTGGTGTCCTTGATGTACCAGATGATTATCTTACAACTGAATTCAGAGAGGAATGTGAGAGAATTGTTGATCTAAAACATTTGCAACCTTCAGATTGCAAAGAGGCATTTCTGTTTCTAAAACAACATTTCAGACACTAATGAGTCCAATATGTTATTATTCAAGTGTATATCAATGTAATTATTAATTAATAAAATGAAGTTGTTACAAAGTCATTCCAAACATGTTGGACTACAAGTAAGATAAACCAAGATCAAAACTCAGTTTATTTCCAGTTAACTCAATTCTAACATAACAAAAGAACACAACATATTTTTTACCTATGTACTGTAATACCATACATGCAGTTTTATGCTGTTTGTTCTTCATTTACATGTCCTACATTTTACAAAAGGATGGCTCAAAATAACCAATAAAAATAGGGACATGCAATGCAATCTGAATGAAAAGAAAATACATGGAAAATCTTTAGGCATTGTCCAGATCTCACCCTCACCATAAACAATATAATATCAACAGACTATTCTATCAAGGTTCCTCTAGTACCACAAAAGTTATGCTTTTAAAGGCTCAAGTCCGGCCAGAACACAATATCGGTTGCACTTGTGTTGGCGAATAAAGGCTGAAATGGCCACATCTGATAAGTTTCCAGTGCAGTATAGGTAGTTCATGTCTGCATCAACCAGTTCAGTGGATGCAATCTCCGGATCAAATAAATCATACCCGTTACCTTGTATATCAACAACCATCAACTGTTTTCCTGACTATTGGTAGGAAAAGTGAACCAGGCATTCAGCTTTCAGACCAATAATATTTGCAGATTCGATACTGACACTGCTCAAACCAGTGTTGTTTATATACTTTGTGAAGCAGCCAGGTATAAATTCCTCCACTGCCACATATTCTCCTCCATCTGTTTCCCCATGGAAGATTTTCCTGTACCGGAGAAAATCACCAAATTCATCACTTCATTTACTTTTAGTAACATGATCCTTTAGCTGCATTGCAAAATTCCTTGCAAGTAGGTGCATCTGGACAACCTTGCGGTTATGGTCTTCCACTGTTTGTCCCGTATCTGCTATGCATTTTAGAGCCTGAGGAAGATAATGCTTGATAACCCAGCTTGTGCCAGCAAAATCTTTGTGCCTTGATGTTGCTTTAAATGCTTTCCTGAAGCCTCCAGAGCCCAAAGGCTGTTTCTCTACCAAGAATTCTACTTCTGTATGAATCTTCGACCAGGCAAGCATTTCCATATCAAACTGATACAATTTGACCAAGGTTGTCGCAGTCAACTTGTTTACTTTACCTAGTTTTATCATGTCCGATATTGACAAACTTTTCGGAATATGCTTGCTTTGGGAGGAAAAATCAGCAGACACGGTGTCTCCAGGCTTTCGGAATTTGTTTGGACTAGACTTGGTTTCAAGATGAGATGCTATACTGGGTTTAGGCGGCTCCCAATCGTCAACGTCGAACGCGCCACTGTCGATCAGGCTGTCAATTGCCTTTCTTTTCTTTGTACCAACTTTGTTGACATCAGGGACATGAGCGCTTGTGTCAGGCAAAAATCGAACGTGAATAACCTTTAAATCAGGAATTTGGTTATGGCACTTACAGGACGGTCCTTGTTCTCCCGCGAGAATATCACAAACGACATCACTCCCAATGGTTGGTGCAAAATTCTTCAGACAAGCACTTTTAATGTTGCCAATATTGAATTCCAATTTCTCGGGAAATGGCACAAACTCTCGAGGTCCCATGCGAGTATATTTCTGTGCTTTCTGACGCTGAACAGTCAATTCTTCTCCTTTTGGACGTCTTTGGGTCTCCTGTAAACCTGTTTTTGTGGTTTTTGTTCGTTTGTCCTTAACTTTGTCCTTGAGTTTTTTCCACGCTTCCGCCATATTTACATGCGGTTTCCAAACACTATACACGAGGCTGACATGAAGTAGTTATCATATAGTATTCGCTTCGCAAAGACTTATGGTAGTGGCAGCGATGGGCCACGTGAATATTTTACTTTTGTTTTACTTTGATTTCATTTTACTTTTAATTTTAATTTTGTTTCATTTTATTTAAGTTTTTTTCTTTTTTTATCTTTTTTCATTTTACTTCATTTTACTTTACAAAAATTTATGTATTTATTTAAAAATTATGAAAAAAAATTACTGGCAGCCCTCGGCCACCATAGACATCTTGGTAGTAAACTGTGGCAAATTTGTGTGTTTGTGGACTCAAAACTGCTGTTGGGCCAGGTAAATTGTTAGTTGTTAATAGAAATCTCCAATGTATTATCCTCCATATTCTAGTTATGTACAAGTGCAAATCATGTTTATATCGATCCCAGACCTTGAAAGGTTATGTTCAGCATTACAAACTCCACTCAAACGAAGCGAATATTAGATTTCCATGTGCTATTCAGGGTTGTGTAATGCTATTTCGCACTTACAATGCGTTTAAGTCTCATATGACTAGACATCATCAAAATCACAGGGTTGAAAAATTTCGATCTTTTGACATATCTGACAACATAACTGTAGTACAGTGCCCGTTTAGTTTTTGTGCCAAAATTTCACAAAATTTGAAAGACTTCCTGCAGCATCTAAAAGCTCACATAGTGCAAGGTAATGAAGTGCTGTACCCTTTTGAAGGATGTAGTTTAACATTTAGGGTGAAATCGTCGTTTTCCTCTCATCTAACTCGAAACCATAAAGCTTGCTCAAACAGACGAGTGCACTCTGACTTACTTATACATGAAAGTGAACCTGATACTCATAACCAAAATTTTAACCAAGAAATTGACATAGATGAGGTAACACTTAACAATCTTCATATTGACAATAGTGAACAGGAAAATGAAGTTGAAGAAAATTTGAGTGAGCTGTTACTAAAAAATTTGGCTCTTTTTTATTTAAAACTGACTGCCAAGCACCATATGCCTGCCACGACTGTCCAAATGGTGATTTGTGAAATTCAAGCCATGCATGGTTTATCCCGAAATTGCATGAAACAGCATATTGAGAAAAAAATGAAAGAAAAATTAATTTCTGACACTGACATAAATGACATAACAGAGGAATTTTCAGCAAACGATATCTTTGATACAGTTCATGCTGACAAAGGACCACTAAGTACTGAATATAGAAGAAAACAATTTTATAAGGAAAACTTCAGTTATGTTAACCCCATAGCAATATGCCTAGGACATGATAAAGATAATATTAAACGACATTTTGAGTATGTCCCTGTCATTGAAACAATTGAAAATCTTTTGAAGGACTCCAGTGTTAAAGAACAATTTCAAAACCCACTTCCATCCCAAGAAGGCGTTTTAAGGGATTTTATGGATGGGTGTGTAGCAAAACAAAATCTTCTTTTCATTGAGCTACCTAATGCCATTAAGATAATTCTCTACCAAGATTCCTTTGAAGTTGTGAACCCTTTGGGGAGTGCAAAAAAGAAACACAAAATTTTAGGAGTTTACCTTACTTTGGGCAACATTTATCCCCAAAACCGTTCCAAAATTGATCAAATGCAACTTGTTTTGCTTATCAGAGAAGTTGATTTTAAGTACTTTGGGCAGGAAGCTGTGTTCCGTGTGCTAGTTAAAGACCTTAAGAAAATTGAGGAGACAGGTGTGCATTTTGAGAATGAATATGTCCGTGGAACAGTTGCCATGTTCCTCGGTGACAATTTGGGTAGCCACTGCATTGCTGGTTTTGTAGAAAATTTCAGTTCATGTGTATATATATGTCGATTTTGCTTAATGGAATTAGAGGCATTTATTTCTGGTAACATTTATAATATCTATCCTCAACGATCACCAGAAAATTACAAAGAGGACTTAGCAGAGCTTGAGAAAAATCCAGTCCTAAATAATTACCATGATGGAATAAAATTTGACTCAATTTTTAATGAACTTGAATATTACCATGTGTGTAGCCCAGGCTTACCCCCTTGCCTTGGCCATGATCTTTTTGAGGGTGTTGTCCATTATGACCTGGCCCTTTTCATAAAGTACATGGTAAAAGATAAGAAGTTCTTCACATATCCATATATCAATCAAAGAATAGCTACGTTTAAGTAGAAGGGAAGTGATGCCAATAACAAACCTGGCACTCTTAGTGACCAAGGTAATAAACTTGGTGGACATGCTGTCCAGAATTGGTGCTTTCTTCGGCTTCTTCCACTTCTAATTGGTTCCAAAATTAGTGATACTTCTGATCCAGTATGGAAGTTGACACTTTTACTCAGAACTATCATAGAAGCTGTATGTGCCCCTGAAATAACATTGACCCAAGTAGCATTCTTAAAAGTTAAAATTGAAGAATATTTAGAGCAGCGCTTCTTCCTTTTCCCCGAAAATGCATTAAGACCAAAGCATCATTATTTAGCCCATTATCCAAGGTTAATATTGCAGTTTGGACCATTGATCAGAGTGTGGACACTTCGCTTTGAAAGTAAGCATTCATATTTCAAGAAGTGTGCTAGATATAGCCAAAATTTCATTAACATCTGCCATACGTTTGCCAAACGCCATGGCCACCAGCTTTTACAAGCATATCTGAGCAATGGGTCCCTTTTTAGTGTTAGTGTTAATGTTGACAATGCAATTCCATTTAATGTGGGTTT